TACACGTCACAGTTCTGAGCTTGATGGCGGTTACCATTGTGTTCAGATCACGGCCAGCACAAGCATATTATCATCGTCTTTCACAGATATACCTCAGCTAGTCAACCATGACCTGATACATGGCTTACTAGAACTGAAATGCTGGGATGTGGATGATTCTTTCTGCATGTTCAACAGGTTCAAGGAGGGCAGCAATGCTGACTCCACGAATACCTTCTAGTAGAAAGATAAAGATGGGAACCATCGAGACAAGGTAAGAGACATTCGGAGCAAAATATTTGATAACACATCAACAGTTTTTCTAATGGCCCTATATTTCTGGATGCAAGCTTTATTATCATCACGTCTCGAGTCCTGAATCAAGAACTGCTGATCCAGTCTCAGGGATTCTGAAGTTATGTACACCATTCTCTTAGTCCAGATAGAAAGAATTTCTCTCGTCTAGGCGAAACAGGATACGTTTCAGCAAACTGCAGAAGAATTCATGTCAGTTTCGAGAGTCTTGATTTCCACTTCATCTCGCATATGATGCATGAAGCCTTCATTGATCCATCCTTTACGCTCCACTTCGCCCCTACAATTCGGAGCGAGTATGGATTTCACTGGTATGGAGCACGGGCGGGTCCCTTCATACGAACACTATTCGGGCGGACGAACTGTTGAGTAAGTCGATAGAGTTGAGCGAGAGGTGTTGGGTATGGAGACGGAACATCAGAGAGATCTTGTCTTTCCCGCGTCCTCTCTCTAGTCTTCAATTCGAACCCTCGCTCCTCTTGCTTTCGGCTTTCTTCGCTCAGTTTCAGGAGCCAAATGCGCGGAGATGTCAACGCTGCAGCATGCTGAGCAACGATGAGCGATTTTGGATCGCCCTTCAATATTATCTTTGCTGTGAATTGTGGCGAATTGCTCCGGCCCATGACTGTCAGTCAATCCTAAAGTTCAATAATGCGATGTCAAATATTTTTTTACTGAGATTGCTGTCAAACTAATCTCCGAGCACTCCATTGAAAATTCTGGTAGACATAGATGTGACTATAACTGTGGAAGTGTTTACTTGCTTCAGGATATTTTATTTACATTTCGCGATCGGAAGCTTTTCAATTGAGCTGATGTTGAAGCAAGACACTGATTTGCGAAATTCAAAATGACTTGTATTTGAAAAACCCAAGACTACATCACTTATGGTTTGATTCATCCGATTATCACTAAGAATATAGACTATCAACGTCTTATGCTGGTGAATGATTATTAGTTTTGTGAGCATGCAATCAAATCGACATCGCTGGAGAGACCATATTGTGTGGCCTGTGAGGGTGAGCTTTGACATGTACCCTCTGAAGCGACAGGAATAAGCTTTCAAGACTGAAGGAAACTGTTGGTGCGTTGGGGCTTCATACCAATCAGAACACAGGTCATTCATTTGGCTTTGTAACACAACGAGTAGCAGGCCAGCGCTCTTCAAAATGCTAATTTGAGATTCACCTTAAATGATAAGAACAAGAGAATTCGCCAGTCGCAACAAAGATTTTGAGAAGAATCCACTCGTGTGGATCGACCTTGAATGAACACGAGTGGACACATTATGACACATGTACTATCATAATACTTTGCCTGAAGTGTGGATCAGTCACATCGACTACTCAGACTCTAGATGACTTCTTTTTCATGCACTCTGTAATCAACACCACCCTTCTAAGAGTGATCCGTTGCATGTTGGATGAATAGATGAGAAAGAAACTACCAGTTCCACCAGAAGCAATGTCTACTCCTTTGAAAATATGGAAGGCCATGCCTTACACTGATGGTCTCATATCAGTGTCACGCGGATATGGCAAGAAAACAAGGCGAAAGTTTTAATAGAAGACTAGAGAGAGAAGAGGCAAGAAAGCCAGTCGCCCTCGCTCACCGCAGTCAACTATAGCTACTGACTTAGCAGGCTGTACAGCCGGTGTTTGCATGAATGGCCCCGGCCGTAAGCCCGGTGGGGGCTGGCTTTAGTGAAAATTCTTACTGAAACTGAAATGCTGGGATGCGGATGATTCTTTATGCATGTTCGACGAGGCAGCGTTCTCAGACTCCTCCAATAACTTCAAGTAGAAAGATAGAGATGGGAAGAATCTAGACAAGGACGAGACATTCGCAACAAAATATAGGATATCACATCAACATTTTTGCCAATGGTCTTTCATTGATAAATTAGCAGATGCGAGCTTTATTATCATCACGCTGGAGTCAATAGTAGATGACCTGGATCAGAAACTGCTCATCCAGTCTCAGGGATTTCCGTGAACCGATTCTCTTCGTCCAGATATAAAGAATTTCTCTCATCTAAGCGAAACAACAGCAGAATTTATGTCACTTTTGAGAGTCTTGATTTCTCAAGTCCCCACTTCGTGCAGCTGAAGGCTCCATATTTTGATAATTTACGCTCCACTTCGCCCCTGCATTTCGTGGCGAGTATGGCTTTTACCAGTGTGTGTTAACATTCATCTTAGAATAGGAACTACAGGTGTTATGCTAGAGGTAATCGGAATTCTCCCCAGCTGTAAACTCAAGTTCTACACTTCCTCATCTGAACTCCAACTTCATGTACATCCTTCAACTATTCTGTCTCGTAGAACGGTGCTACACCTGAAACCGCTGGAAACTAGCTCCCACTCGCGTGCCTTCAACGACGATAAATTCACCGCCACACATTTTTCACACTTCCAGAACTTGCAGCTGCCGATTGCGTCCAGCACTCGAAGGTGCACTTGGCTTCGGCACTCTATGATGGTCGAGAACACGCTCCGGAAATCATTTCCGAAATCCTGGTCCTACCTGGACTTTGCCTTCCAGACGCCGTGTAAGGTCCTGGACAGCGGAGGGAAGCTCCGGTTACTAGCTCGGAGTCTTTTTCCCGTGTCGCAAGCTCAGCAGCGTCACTGACGATGGAAGCATCTGAACCTTCCATTCTCTCCTCCACTCTCACAGAGGAAGAATCGTTTGCTGCTTGGCATGCGCGGTGGCATACAAGGGGCCATCTCCTTGATCAGCAAGCCCCCCTCTCCCGGAGATAACTTAACTTCCTGTCGCAGTGTGATAACATGTGCGTGCTGGGCATGAGACTTCTTGCACTCTGCATGAGGCGCTACACAAAGATTACTCCATGCTCTGCAGATAATCAGATCAAGAACAATAATCATGAACGCAAAACGATAGTGCAAAGTAAAACTGCATGTACAATTGGACCGGGAAATGGAGAACCTAGCTGCATCAAAACCCACGGGAAGACATACCCTCCTATGGGTAGCGCGTAGAAAACATATATAATCTCCTTCCTTCCTGTTTACGCGATCGTCAGGCGAGGATCAGACACGCAATCAATCGGGATATTTTTTACTACTTATTAGATTTCAAGGCGCTCTAGTACGTAACCAGGCACGAGATTCTTCAGCTCAAGGACTGGAGCACTTACTGGTACACCAGGTTCAATGAGAGTCCGGAAGCGGTCCGCATCTCAGTGGGAGTGGAGCACACTTCAATATTCAGCTTATCAAAAGCAAATCGTCTGCTTTTGTGCTTTCGTTTGTGAACCGGCATGTGTGCTCAGATCCCCTGAGCTTCGTTCAGCTGTCAAAGTAATAGCTGGAAAATTCTCTAGACGCCAAGTCTGTTAGACAGAGAGTATAATATCTAACTGAGATCAAGCAGAGTCCACAAAAGCGTGTCACTCATGGATCTTATTTTCCTATTTCCTAAAGATTGATGAAATTCAGAGATATCTTCACCGGCTCTAGAACCATCAGATCTAGATTTATGATGAATTTTTTTTGAAATTTTAAGCGAGCTGTTAATATAATAGAAGATGTTTCCATCGTGAAAATAAAAAAATTATTGTTAACATGGCTCCATTGTGTACCATTTGATGTTGACCTCCAAATCTTTTTATTAAATTTTTGAAATACATACACAATATATTTTTCAGAAGAATCCCTCGATATTATATTCATTGATTGGAGATTTAGCATCAACCAGTTCAAACCTCACCACAACATCAATCTTGCCACTAAAAACAGGCCTGCTGCCGTTTAAGCAGATCTGCACCACGTCGCAAGACACGCCCATTGCATGAATTTCCATGATCAGCGAGCAAAATGTCCTAGAATGCGTTCTGTGGAAGACTTTTCCGTACCTGATCTCAGTTTTAGTACGTCTAAAAACTTATTGATTTCTTCTACCACAGCCTCGAGATCAATCCCTTCTGAACGAACTGCCTTGCTCAGAGATTTTGCAGAAGACAACCATTAAATTACTCCTGACAACAGTTGAAAAAAAAAACAAATAAAATGTTTTGATTGTCTCATGAATTATTCCGACCATCCAGTTCAGAGTAAATTTCATCATAGATTACAGATGGAGCGCAAAAAGCTACCTAGCTGCAGTCACGTATCTAAGAACTCATTCGGATTCTTACATCTTGATCCTCTTTTTCACACACTCCGCAACAGTCTCAGCGTAAAACTACGTTTTTTCTCTAATCACATGCCAGTCATTTGACTCACGAGGTTTCCACAGCCGTATTCAAGAGCCTGCCGCTCGAAGAGTGCACATCGAGTGTTACAAAGACCAGGTGAGAAAGCCGACTCCAGCACATCTTGAACACTGCATGTGGTCGAAACATGCAGTGTTCACTCGTGTTTGACAAGGCTACCAACTGTACAAAAATAGCATAATCTGATCTTTATTCCTGTCCATTCTACAGTTGTTGTACCTTCATCATCATTCAAACAATCATTCTGGGATATGTATCAAAATTCAAGGCTGACAACCTAAAATTTAAGTGAAAGGATTTCATCAGGGTGAGACTTGCAACAAGCCGCACTTAAAACTTTGTCCTCAATATGTAATTTTGATAGATTAGCCAAAACTGATATTCTTTAGAAACATAACTGCGCGATTGACATGATTGCATAAATTATGAAAGACTTGTAAAAGTGAAAACCCTAAGGAAGGTTTCGCAGATGCTTATATTGCATGAGGGTCTAAACATATGCTTGTCAATTGCATAATGACATTCTAACCTCTTCAAATTCCTAATATGTCAAAATGCCAGAACGAAAACCTTTATCCATGCACTCCTCACACACCCATGCATGCCCACCTAATTCTAGACTCACGTATTTCACCTGGTACAACTTGAAGTTTGCCGAATAGCTATCTCGAAGCTCAGGCGCAAGAGTTTGCTGAATCCTCAGCCACGCTTCTTGTAGCTCCATGCTTTCCCCACCTTTTAGAACTGCCCTACGATCACTATCGCTAATGCCAACTAGTTTAACAATATTTGATCTTAAATCTGCCAAGTCCGGAATTGCTTGGCCTAATCCGAGGGTCACATCTAGTCCAGCCTTTGCAGCATAATACATGATTTTGTATGAAATTTCAATAGTTTTTCCAATCCAGGAGCTATTGTATCGATCCACGCGTATCTTCAAACCTTCTTGATCTTTGACCTTGTGAAACCCAGTCGACGACTCGCACATCAAGTGTAACCGAACTGTTGTCCCGGCATTCAGAGCTGCATTCATTCGATGAAAAACGCCAACATCGTCTGTAATGTAAGGTTGCTTGGGAAGCAAAGGTTTCTGAAACGAATGAGAATACTTAACAATCCTGTCCACTTTAGACGTGAAATCACTTAGCGTTGACTGCAGTTCTTGCTGTAGAGAGAGTATCTTCATCTCCAACCTCTGCAAAATGCTCTGCACTGATCTCAACCTTTCATCAACACCATCAACCTTTTTTTCCACCCTATCAACCTTATTTCCTACCACATAGATGCTTTCCAAAATAAGTCGAGTGTTAGGATCTTCAACACTTGAGCTCTCCTGACTTAAGCACCTAGATGAAGATCGATTGGAGTCTTTCACATCTGCAAAATTCGAATTGGTAACCATGTTCTCATTTTCAGGGTAAGAATGAATCAAATCTTTGTTCACTTCCTTTAATCCCTCTTGCAATGACTCCAGTTGTTGGATAAGCCTTTGCTGCCTTGACTCCATTTGTTGGATAAGGCTTTGCTGCCATGACTCCAATTGTTGCATTTGCTTCTGTCGGATCTCATTCACGACCGCTTCCACATCGCTCTCCCGCAGCAAATCTTTAGCTCTTTCGGATATTACAGGTGTGTGCCTATCAATAGAGGGCCAAGAGTGCTCATAGTTCAACAACTTTTCCCACTCCACCAAGTGCAACTCATCCGGCGGAATTCTCTCAAGTTTCTCATTGCTGCGACGAATGAAGTTTGATTTCAGCTCGTCGATCAGAATGGCTCCTCTGAGATCACTCGGAACCAGCATCTTCACGCAATGTGTTTGGATCACACCGAGCACTAACGCCACCCCTGGACAGCCTTTGGATGATGCGCAGAATGATATCAACTCCTCGACAATATACTTCATCATGTATTGCAGAGCCTCCGACCTTGATTTATGCATTGAGCGTAACATTAGAACATCCACGTACTTGTGGGACGTTCCTTGCTCAACGTAGATCTCATACCCATCAAAGAAAAATTGCAGATAATGTCGAGAGAAGTTAACATTCTTCTTGGAAACATTCATTTCCGATATCAACTTGCGTCTCATGAAAATCTACAATGATACAAAAATTGGTAAATATTGAGCTGCGCATTCTAAAAATTGAATTTATCTTTGAAGTAAATATGAAATTGAAAATCAAAAAACTGAATGAAACACTCCATTCATCGATCACAAATTACAATCACAACTTGACGCATTCTCACTGTAAATATGAAATCACCTGGAAGCATGGGAAAAAAGCTGCAGTAAGTGACATTGTGATTTCATCTTGGCATTGAATACGGATGCCGACAAACTGTGTAGTCTCGTCCCTATTTTTCCAAGCCAATGCTTGAGGCGTCTGTTTTTCCGTGCTTGCATGCTCAGGTAGGAAAGAAGGAATGAAATACTGAGAAGGATCTTCCACCTTGAAACACAAATCTAAATTGATAAGGATGTCTTCAAGCACCTTTCGATCCACAACTCCCTCTCCATGTGGTTGCTTTCGCAAAAACTCTTCCATCAATCCAGCAAAGACGCTCTGACTCACAAATCCGTCCTTGCTTACATATGAGCTTTCAGAAGACCCAGACTTTTGAGGTTGAAAGTTTTGACCTAGAGCTATCAACTTACCCAATAATGTATATGTAAGCCAGTTGGGATCTACAATGATGTAATCAAGGTTGGGGATAGAAATGATGGATCCAACGTCATTCAAATATGATATGATTGCGCTCATTATCCTTTCATGACCAACTGAATGAACTGAAGATGATGAAATGAATTTTGTCAAACTAGGAGCACAGATATCTTTGAAGGTTTTTGATGGCAAGAGAGGGCAACTTCTATTCTTCTTGGTGTCTGTAACCAAGAAGAAGGAGAGGTGTGAACACAATTGGGGAACCCGTGGGGACTTTTCACTCAACAAATTTTTGAAGATCTCAAAAATGTGATTTTGGAGAGGAATAACTTCCTTCTTCTTCCGTGCATCCAAATGAAATAACTCTTGGTGGAGATCCACAAAATTTTTGAATCTTTTGGTTAGTGTGCTTACTATGTTGTGAGCCCACTCCAAAGAGTGGCATGTAACTTTATCCTTGTGTGTAATCACAACAAGAACTTGTGGAAGACTATGTCCCGTGACCCTAGTGTTGGATGTGATGAAACTTAACCATTCTTCCAACTCTGTCTGGAAACAAGAGTCTTCTTTTTTTGAATTTTTTTTTTCACGGAAGGGATTATACACAAATAAAAAAATACAAAAATTGCTGGATTGAGGGAAGACCACATTTTGAAGGGTACGGAAAATGCCTTGTCCCGCAAGATCCCATATTGAGATTTGACTTTTGTCATTGTTTTGCAGGAACTCGACTTCAATTCCCTCTGTTCTCCACAACTCCTTCAATTTGTTGCCAATCCAACTATCCCCTTTAACTATCCTCATCAGGGTTTGACGCACTTGAGTTTTGCCTGCAGATAAATAAAGAAAATCAAAATAAATACAACTTGTTAGTTGAGATATTTTTATAGATTCTTTGATACCATATTATTTAATCATATTTATAGATAAAAAGAATTGGAAAGAAATCCGAATTTCACATCAAAATTTAAAATTATGATAAAATTCTATTCATAATCTAAAAAGTTGGGATATTAATTTTCTTTTACTTTTAGTTTTTAAAAATATTTACACAATTCCAAATACATGTAGATAAGAAAATTTAACCTTTTGACTATAATATTAATTTTTGATTAGTCGAACCTCAGATTGCTAGTCTCCGTAAATGTAGAGAGCAGGTTACCTGCTAGAGGAGAGCCGCATAAGAAGAGTCGACCAGCTTTTGCATCTCCAAATGCTAATTTGGCTTCTATGAAGACGGACATGTACACGGCCCGCTTCTGGTTCTGCTTGAGCGCCTCTTGAATCTGCGCTTCCTTTCCGGCCGAATCCCATGAGGTTTTTCTGACATCTATTTCTTGGAGAGTCAAGTTCACTTGCAGTAAACTCATCAGGTCCCTGAACGTCTCATCGTCGAGGTCGGAGTAACGCAAATCCAAGTGAGTGAGACTTGTGTTCCCTCGCAAGCACGGAAGCAGGTACTTCAAAACATCTTTGTAATGACCAGAAAATCCCAGTCTCTTCAGGACTGAAGTCTCTCCAGTGTTTCCATTCATCGATAGGATACTTTTCAATCTATCTTCGTTGATACTTTCGAATCTATCTCCTCACTGACGTGAATGACGCTCTATGTGTAAAGATTCTACAGATTTGACTTCCCCGCGGAGTACCCTACCTAATAGGTTTAGTGATAACTCATAACCATCTAACCCACTCCAAATTTTTAGATCAAGCTCCACTGTGGGGTCCTTGACATCGGAGGTAGTAGCACACGCAAGAGCTTCTATTGACTTCCACTCATAGTTATCGTCATATCCCAACGGAAACTCTACATAAATAGTTGTTGCTATGGCCTTGTCACGTATGACTTCGCCGAGCTGCTGCCAGTCCTCAGGACGCATCTGCAACCAGTACAACCTCAGTTCCTTTAAGTAAGAAGTAAGAAGTTGCCTCAAACAGTCTCCGCGTCCATCCATATCCACACCCCGCAGATGAAGACGTTCAATGGATAGGTTGCCATTGTCTCTGGCCAAAGCTGTCAGCAACAAGGCCGCTCCCCACTTCACCGAATTTAACTCTAGTTGTTTCAAAGACGAGCTTTTGATCAAAGATTGGGACAGCATTCCAACGGCCTCATCATCCATTTGCGAATCGCCTTGTAATATCAACGTTTGTAGTAGAGGAGCACTGTTGATCACTTCAGCCACATGCTTCCCCGCACTCGAGTCCCACCACGCGTTTTGTAAATGTAATTTCTCGAGTTTAGATTCGCAATTTCCTCGCAGTCCTGAGGCGAGATTCAACAAACATCTGGCACTCAATCTGCAATCCTCTATGTACAATTCTGTTACGCTAGAGGAATTCAGAATTCTCCCTAGCTGTAAACAGAAGCTCTCCATGTCATCTGAACCCCATGCCCATGCGATGGACCTAATGATTATCGTTTGTAGAATGGTGCTAGACATGAATCCTCTTAGAACTATCTCCCACTCGCTTGCCGTCAAGCTCGATATATCTCCGTCACAAATCTCTCTCACTTCGAGAACCTCAAAGGTGTTACAGTTGCCGATTGCCTCCAGCACTCGAAGGCGCACTTGGCTTCGCCACCCTGTGACCGAGCGCGGTGCCCTACACGGAAAGAACTCACGGACATTTATGGCGCTGAAATTGGGATGCCTCCGTAAAGGCTCGCCTTTGCCTTCCAGACGCTGTAGAATGTCCTGGAGAGCGGAGGGAAGCTTCGGTTCCTCGTCTGTCTCGCTCGCGTTTGAAGTCTCTGGTTCCTCGTCTGCAGAGTCCATTCCTCGTGTCGCAAGCTCAGCTCCGTCACTGATGATGGACGCACCTGAACCTTCCATTCTCTCCTCCACTCTCCCAGAGTAAGAAACGTTTGCTACTTGGAATGCGTGTGCGAAATGTAAACTGGGCACACAGTAGGCTCTCTCCTTGATCTGCAAGCCCGGATCACCTAAACAAAACTGAATTGCCCGTCGCTGAGTCACAATCTTCTTGCGCGGTGCTACAGGAGCGACACAGATATTACTCCCCGAGCTCTGCACAGAATCGGAACAAGAGCAATCACTTGGAACGCAAAAGGATTGTGCAAGTGGAAGCAGAGGATGCTCGAGCTCAGTGCCTAGAGAACCAGCATTCTGGTTCCAAGCGAAATAGTAGTAGAGTGTGAGCAAAGGAGTGTTCAATTCTGTCGGGAAACAAATTTATTCTGAACTGGAATGGAGAGAGAGATATGTGATGGGTACTGGTGGCCGAAATCGAACTGAGTGAAAAAGCTGAGAGCTCTGCAAGTGGATATGAAATATAAAAGACTGATTGGTATAAAAAATGGTGCGATGAGTATGCAAAATGTCATGGAATGCAGGGAATCGCAGATATTTCAGTTTTGAAGTACTCTGCGTAGTGTAAAACAATATTTACAATTGGACTGGATGAATGCGAATCTAGCTGCACGAGACCCACGGGAAGACATACCCTACCATGGGTAGGGCGTGAATGAAACATGCAACGTCTTCATTCAGATCTTGTCATCGAATTGTGTGAGCGATCGAGGTGAAGACAACATGCCTACACAACAAGCTTCTTCCTCCATACTCGGTGTGATTGATAAATGTCCTTAGACGGTCAGAATAATCTTCACTTTGTTGTGCAAGCGAACAGGGTATGTGAGCCAATGATTTAATGTGCTGATACACTAGCTGTCGTCACGCAAGCAAGTGGATGTATTTTGACAACTGAGTGGCACATGGATAGTCAACTCGGAGGACAAATCCTGTTAAACTTTTTTCTCGCTTTGAGGATTCATTATTCTACATTACTCTATACAACTCGTAGGTTCAGATAAAACAAATCAACTTTTTGGGAGTTTACTAAAAAATATGTAGAAAAACTGTGTACAGCGTATAGGACTACTCGAGGTTCTCAACTGCTCGTATAATTATCAATTATTATTATTAATTCACTCTACCCAAGAAAGTGAAGATGCTGGGATGGCCCATTTTGATACTCCGTGTGAGACCTTAGATAACAAGTAAAACGCACAGGACAATGCTTCGACTCCAAAGTCAATTGGAATCGCGCCACCTTATCTTCTTTTTGAAGACGCAATGAGATCCAACCGTAAGGTCACTTGAATATGTAATCCTCCTCCGTCTTGATCCTTCGGATTCGGAATCTGATGCCCACGAGAAAGTAACGTTGAACTCAGACATCTGTATATGCCGTTTGGGGTTTCTTTAGTCCAACCGACATGCATGCCTGCGAACGAAGTTTTTGAAGTTGAACTACTCAGTTTGTTGTCATCTTCTGCAAATCGTACACAATCCTCCAAGAGAATGAGCGTCTACCAGATTGCTTTTCAGGTCTATCCGGGAATTATAAAGTATCCTGTCCGGCTACATTTTCGGGGAGTATTATCAACTTGCTGGTAGGAGAACAATAAAAATTAATCAGAATTGCGGAGATGAGCACAAGTACTATATTGAGGGTTGATTGAAAATGGTTTGTTCAGAATGCTCAGAAACACGTACAATCGCCAAACTCTGTTCGAATAGCAACTCTAAGCCAACCCTGACTGACTGCTGTCTTGATGCTTGCTACTCTGGAATGCAGCTGAGGGGTCTTTGGAAAAATATTATTCACCATGTGGGTACAATTACAGCACTTTGACGCTGGTGAGTTGGATATAATTCAATCTCGAAACTTGTCTCGTTGTTACATAGAGAAAAAATTTCGGTACAGCATCCTCGAGATTCCAGTGACTACTGTACCGCATTTAGTCACGTGGAGGTCGGAGATGAAAGAATCCCACGATGAAAGAATCCAGGAACGATTCACAGTCGATATCACGTCATGCACTAGTATTCATAGTTGTGATGACTCATGTGCAACTCCAGTCCTGCACAAGTCTGAGGACCTTGGGCGTTCTCAAATAGGAACTTCATAATCCTGAATTGTCGATGAACCCTATTTTTCCACACGGTATAGGACCATGACCAGTGTCAGTTCGTCCCCTGGACTATCCCTGTTGTGGCCAAATAGTCCATAAGACGGTGGATTTGTTCCTTCTTGACTTAATCATTTCCGATGCTTTTGTCTGATTTGAGTAGTTAAGATTCACCCTTGCTTTCTGTGGTAACACACTTTTTGTTTTTGTCGCAGAATTTAAACAATTTTGAAAAAGAAGTACCGAAGCAGTGTCTGTAGTTAGGAAATGGTACGTTAAATAGAGTGGATTGAGGAGATCGCAGGTCACGAAGAATCGCGGAGTTGGGCGTAACGGCGCCAAACGCCTTCGGCAAAATCTCCTTTGCTGAGATGTCTTTACCCACGCGCCTCCAGCGCTTAGGGAAGGTACGCTTCCGGCACAGACACCTCCGGAGGAGATGTCGCTGAAGACGTCAGAAGCCGGCAAGGACCTGTGAATGCTTCCGACCAGGAGTGCGCCTTCGGCGATGCGCCGTTGGCACGGGAGAAAAACCTTCATAACGATCAAGATTCACGGTAGTTCTAGTTGGTTGAGGTTTCATTGGAAAGAGCTCGGGACGCTCGTTCTAACGAGCCCAAGAGCGCTGGAGATGGATCAGGGACGAGGAAGTTATGAGCGTCGGTAAACTCGCATCCGGCGATGCGCTGTTCGCGCTAGGGTTCACCGTCGGAAAGGACCCCCGTACGCCTTTGGCGATGCGCCTTCGGCGGAACCACGCGCTCATGAGAGGAGATCAACTCGGAGGCGGAAGCGCCTTCGGCGGCTGCGCAGCGGAAGAGAAGTGCCGACCTGATGTACGCCTCCGACGTGGCGCGGACAGGCGGGTGCGCTGGCATAATTCGCGTCGGCGGGATACGCGCCGTCGGCGATATGCGGGACAGAACGGACAAAAGAAGTTGTACAAGTACGTGTCGGCGTAATTCGCGCCGACTTGATGTGCGCCTCCAGCGAGGCGCCGACGGAGAAAGAGTACGCCTTCGGCGATACGCCTCCGGCAATGGGCAGGTTGGGAAAAGACAACATAGTCGGAGCGTACGCTCCACCGCGGCGAACTCGAGTCCGGAAGCCCCCGGCGATGGCGAACTCAGAGCCGGAGGACGATGGCGGCGGGAGAATTCAACGTTCACGCATGCGAATGCGCGCAGTGCGGAGTCGTGAATTCGAGCATGCGAGGGAGAACCGTTAGGCCGTATAGCCGGCTGCGTAATCAAGTTTGATTGTACCCACTTAGAGCGTTGTGCGATCTTGAATTCGGAGAAGAAAAGTCTGCTCTCCAGTCTCATTCTCTCATTCTTGATTGTGAGTTTTCCAGCTTCAGAGCTTGAGCGCGCAAGGGCGGAGAGACCTTCAGTGAGTTGGAGAGAGTGCAGGAATCAGTGAGCAGGAAGGAGTGCGTAGCAACCAGGCGCGCGGAGGCGAGTTGCGCGAGGATCTTGACGGACCTTGCAGAGAGTGTGCAAGTAGAGAAATTGAGCGCGCAAGAGAAGAGAGAGCGATTTCAGTTAGTGTCTGAGCAGGCCGACGCGCAGCGGCGATTGTGAGAGATCGAGCGAGAGGGAAGAACGTCTGTGTGTGCAGGGAGAGCAGGAAATATGTCAAAGGTCCCCCAACTGCGAGTGTCTCCACTCAGAGTGCCGCAGATCGGTCTGCGCGCATTCCAGGATGTGTTGACAAGGTTGAAGCTTGATTTCCTTCTGTGGGGATGGAATTGGACGTGTCCGGAGATGGTGCGCGAATACTTGCGGGAGAAACACCAGCCCTCGCGCGGATTCCGCCCCCACCCAGAGAGGTGGGACATTAGTCACTAGGCGCAGGTATTAGGAAGGTGTGCAGGCGAGGAAGGGTATCTCCTCTTCGAGGCCGAAAGCGTGAAGGTGTCGAAGGAGGAAGAGAACTCCTACAATGATCTTTTCAAGGTTGGCAAGCATCCCAAGAACGGTTTCCGGACGCGGGATTACAAAGATCGATTGCGGAGAAATGTCGCGACTGCATTACTTCAAATATTGCAGCCGACCAAGACCGCCTACATGCATGGGTGGCAAGTGGGATTTGTGGAGCTAGTGTTGTCAGGAGTTCCGGTTCATTGGGCACGGCTCCTGTGGAAGGTGACGCGCCTACATGCGCAAGAAGAGAGAGGAGGGAACCTCAATCATCTTTCGCCTTACCTGATCGTGTTTTATCGAGTGATGGTATGCTTGACAGCTTCAGAGCGGGCGCGGTTTCCGCTGCTGACCCGGAGTAATCCGGGTAGATACTTGCGGGAGGCTGAAGTGGACACGGATCCGGACGAAGCACCTGCCAGTCCAGCTCCAGCTCCAGCTCCGGCTCCGGCAAGAGCTGAAGAAGGGCATCGAAGTGAGCGCGCACCGCGGAAGCGGAAATGGGATGAGAGACCAGAATACAGGCAGCCGTAAGCTCCCGCTGCGCCGACTCGGAGTCGGCCAACCCACGAGCTTCACAGCCGGCCGAAACAGAGGGCACGTAAGATGGTGTTGCCCACTAGCAGTGAGGAGACCGGGCGCACTCCGGTCCGGCGAAATGTCCTGCCCACGCAGGAAGAGATAATCGTGCAGGTTCTGGGGAGGTCGGTGAACCCCTCTGCATAGAAGGCGCGGATGCCTTCGGAAGAAGTCAGGCGAACTGAGAGTCGGCCGACTGCGAGTCGGGCGACTGAAGGTCGGCCAACTGCAGGTCGGCAAGAACAACGTGCTGAAGCGGACAGCACGCCGGAAGCAGAAGAGAGTTTGGCTGCAGAGCCAACAACTCTCAGAGAGATGTCTTTGGTAGAAGACGCTTCTGAGAAAACGCCTCCAGCAAAGAGGCCAAGTGGAGTAAAGACGTTTAGAGTGGATCCAACTGCCAGTCGGACAACTGCTAGTCGGCCGACTACGAGTCGGTCAACTTAGAGTCGGCCAGATTCGCCGACTGCGAATCGGACAGGACCGGCGACCATTGTGCGGGCGCCTTCGGCGGACACACCTCCGGCGAAGACACCTTCCACGCAGATCGCGCCGGAGGAGCAGGCAATAGAAGCGGGCGGTGCAGAGGCGACAAAAGTGACTGCGCCGCCGACCCCTTCGAGAACCGAAGATCGAGCCGGGGCAGAGGCTCAGGCAGTGGGATCCCCCACTGCCTTAGATATATTCGCGGGGAGTGGAGCGGCAGTCGCGGCGGAAGTTGCTGCGCGCCACAGTTCCAGGGAGTCGCCAAGAGCTTCTGTGGCGACTGAGATCCTCGAAACAGAGGATGAGACGAGTTCGGAAGAACAGGAAGCGGATTCTGTGCGTGGGACGCCAACAGGGGTACTGTGCGAGCAGATAGTGCCACTCTTGCGATATTTGGATCGCAAGGCAGCAAAGTACGCGAGTTCCAGAAAACCGCAGTCTTATGTGGAGATTGTCAAGAGCATGACGAGGAGCAAAGTGGCCATTTGGACCACTAGTTGCCAAACATTGGAGATGAGGAATACTGCCCTCCAACAGCACCTGGCGATCACGAAGAGGCTACACCAAACCCTGCAACAACAGCGAGAGGATGCGGCAACAAAAGCCCAGGCGGATGTCGAGCTAATGCGGGCAAAGATTGAGTTGGAAATACAGGA